ATGTTTAGAGATGAGAGGAAATACTTTGATGAATGAAACATACCCTTATTTTAAATAAAAACGTGAAGCTTGTGTCCAGAGGGTTTTTATAGCGATAAACAGGGAAATTGAATTTAACATCAATGTCTGGCTAAAAAAAATGCTGCTCAAACATGCCCCAGAATGCTGGAAAATGCATCTCAGAGAGTTTCAAATTTCAAATTTTTCCAGGGGAACACACCCCCAGACCCCCCTTGAGGGGCGTGTTGTGCAGCCACCTACTCAGTTCAGATCAGACACCTATTACATTTTCTAGTGACAACCCTGAGTGTGTTGTTCGTTAGTTTGTAAGTTTGTTGTCCTGATGATTCTTAAGGTGAACGTTATCTAGAGAAATTCTGGTTGGGGAAGAGAGAGAGGGAGGGGAGGGAGGGAGTTCATTTTTAGTTCATTTTTTTCATAACATTATCATCAAACCATCATAACGTTTCACAGTTTTTGTCACACATCGAAGTATAACAATTGAGTGCTTCTAGAAATGATTTGACGTATCTGTGTACTTTTTTTAGGAGATGCTGCATAATTTACGCTGTCAAGGCGATGAGAGAGACATCGGCCAATGTGAACATCACGGATGGCGCAGAACAGAATGTAATCATTATGAAGATGCTAGCGTCAAATGTCATTCTCCACAACTTCAAGGTCATGAGGTTATAATCTGAATTTCTTAACAATCTGTTGTTTTGTTTGAGGTAACAAATGTTAAACTTTTTTTTTCACATGCAGAGGGGTTCTAATTTATAAATTATGTTGAAGGGAACTGTAATTCTTTACAAATTTGTCTCAAGTTATACAAAGTTATTGGTGATAAAGTAGTTGAATAAGCGATAAAAACACCATAAAGAAGCGAGAATTACAAAACAAACGAAGAACAACAAACCTTTGGTTGAAATGATTTAAACTGAAAAAGGGGATGTTACCTACCGTGGCCTAGGATATTTTGAACAGGATTAGTAGTACTCCCAAGTCGCTTACACAATGGAAACCAGAATGACCAGCTAACTTCATGATGTGAATATGCAGAACAAGGGTGGGTTTAAAAAAAATCTCCTTTCCACTATGCAATTGTATGCACTGAAGTAAGTTAACTGCAAATTGAGTCTCGAGTCGTGAAATGCAAGCTCTGCTCTTGTCTCCTAGATTAGGCTCGCAGGCGGTGCAAATTCTTTCGAAGGTCGAGTGGAGGTTTTTCATGGCGGACGATGGGGAACTGTTTGTGCAGATAACTGGCGAATAGAAGAAGCAATGGTGGTGTGCCGACAGTTGAATCTTGGATACGCTAGTCAAGCAGCCACGCATAACTATTTTGGCGCCACAAATCTCAAAGTCATCATGTCTGGAGTAATATGTCGAGTGGACGAGATCTCCATTTACAACTGTCATCATCATCAGTGGAACGATACAACTTGCAGCAACAAAAACAAATTAGCAGGAGTCATTTGCGTAGATGGTAGGATTCAATAACTTAAGCGATAGCTTCTCCGTTCAGGTTTTGCTTTAGAACTTGTATCTCTGGGCGCGGGCGAACTTTGTTTTATTTGGTGTATTAGCAAACAAAGATGTTATAAGTTTCCGTAGAAGGTATGCCCCTTGGTCATCAACATCATCCATTGATCATTTTAAGTCCATTCACTGTGGTTTCCGAGTAATACGAGTTGTTCAATACCCAAGAGGAGAGCTGTCTTCCTTTAAAGTAATGAAATGTCGACTATGCAAGTGGAAACGAACAAGATCAAGCTCGAGTATTCTGACAGTAATCAGGAACTTTCTTATAGAGAAGAAAAGGGCCTGCTTAACATTTAAATAAAGGGATGAATCTTTTTGAAATTGAGGAAATCTATGGAGCGATAACGAGTATCCTAAGAACTCGGGGGAACTATTCAGCTCCGGACGAAACCTATTAATAATAAATCCAAGATGACGATCCAATCTAAGCAAGTTTATGTGAATGACCATTGGTCCCATTCCCCTCTTGACTTTTTAAGGGCTGAGTAGTTGAATAGGAGAGAAAGAAAAAATGCATGATAATAGCTTAGACTAATCAGTGTACTGTCCTTCGGTTAACAGAGTTACCCGATCTCGTCATCGATACTGAAGCTCTGAAAAGCGAGATGCGTACGCAGTCCCTCCACGTTGACCATCTGCAATGTGCTTATGAGGAAAACTGTTTAGCAAAAAGTGCAGATGTTCTCTTTAGGTATGTTACCCTCGGACGGTAAGATGTTAACCAACGAATATTATTTTGCCTGCATTTTGTGACATTTTGGAAAGTCTGAGGAAAAAATTTTGAGTCAGTGTTTTTCAAACAAGGAATGTAGTGACACTTAAACTCCAAAACTGACTATGATTTTTTATTTCCTGGACTTAATTGATTATGAAATTTGACTTTGTTTAGAATTAAGCCCTCTTTTACACGATCGATTCAGGAATGTTATGGGGAAGTAAGTTGTGTAAATAATTTCATGGCAGCTCCGATGGCAGTTCTCCACAACTAACAACTATTAATATAATTTCCTTTAGCCCTTTTAAAATTTGTGTTTGGAATTAGATCAAGGTTGCAGCATTTGAAATCTAGTTTGCGATGAGAATCAACTCAAAAGGAAATCACTTTCACCATTTATATGAGGCTGCTTCAACCGACTTGAGGACCATTTTTGAAGCTGGAGGTCTTTACATTAAAAGGGAAAGAAAATCTGCCACTTTGGGTCTTAAAATTTTTAAGTGGTTTCTAAGGAAGAAAGTATGTAGAAAATCGTTCCGTGTTAACAAATGCATGGCAAGGCCAAAACCCGGTATTTCTTATTCGTCATATCAAGACGTTCAAGGGTACGGATGCTGTGTCAATTGTCAATCATGATGCAAGTTCAAAAGATGGATCACTGTCGTAAGAATGTTTATTGCTTGCTCAAGGGGCAAAGTTTTCTGGGAGGAGAAACTCCCTTCTAAATTGACGTTTTACACTAAATTCTCTCCCCCGCACGAGTCAAATAGAGATTTTTCTTATCTTCGCGTGGGCCCATAGGCTTTCCAACTATTTCAGCCAAGGAAAGAGAGAGTCGAAGTTCGAAGTGATTCTCACACAGTCCGAGGTAACAGTCTAAGAATGCAACATAAACGATTAAATGAACAGAACAGTAGTCTGCTCGAACCTGTCTGTGGGCTCAGGTTTGTGACCTGCATGGCATGTGTCCGCAATGTGCTTTGCCCCGTTATTTTCCTCGTGAAGCAAAAAAAATACCAGACGTAAGCCTACAGGCTAAACTTAGAGAAATTGAATGCTTGCGTAACAAATTGTTATCAAGTCAATTATCAACTGCTCACCTTTTGTCAATAGTTGTACAACTTAACTTATCCTTATTATGTTTTTCACCCAGGTCAAGTGGTAACCGGTGGGCTAGGCAAAACCGGATACGAAAACTGTTACGGTTTACAACAAAGATTGAAAACAGAGGTTGGGATCATTTCCGGCCGAACTCGCCCAGATCAGCCTGGCAATACCACCAGTGTCATGGACACCATCACTCTATGGAGACATTTGCTACCTATGCTCTGCTACGTAAGTACGAGCCAACATTCTCCTTGTCAACTGGCTTTATTGGAGAAAGAGATTTCCAAATGAGTGTCTACCGTTAATTGAAATGATGTCTAACTACTCTGTACTAACTCCTTGAAACTAGAGCCATACTAAAATTCTCAGCCACTCAGATGTACACTTTTCCTGCGCTTGCCGCGCTTGTCGCACGAACAACAGTTTTGTTCCTGCTAGTTGCTTCTTTCGATCTGATCGGCTGATGTTTGATTTTTCGAAATTTCTCATCTAAAGAAATTTAAGAGTATATTTCATAATTAGATATCTAATTTTAACTCAGTTGAACCAGAGTTGAACCAGGACATCAAAGGACAGGCCACAGCGCCATCAATCAGTACATTTCCACAACGAGTTTTTGCCTTGGAGGTAGAAGTTAAAAATACCTATATCTCTAGAAACTGGGTTGTCAAAATATTTCAGTAGGAAGCAACTCAAAGCATAACAATTTATTTTAATTTGCCTCCCGAGTTTCTTTTCGATTCTTTTGTAAAAGAATTGGGACGAAATATTCTCACTGTCCCACAATTTGGCCACATCATTCGTTTGTCTCTATAACAACAATCACTTTTTCACTTTTAAAGGTCAGGGTAATTGGAGGAGAGCCGCTGACGGGCATAAGGCCAGTTTTTGTTTAGAAGACACAGAATGTGATCCGGGCTTCGAGAAGAAATGGAACTGCACCAGGGGGGGTGACCAAGGCTTGTCTCCGGGATGTTTTGATATTTATAGTCATAAGATTGACTGTCAGTGGATCGACTACACCGGCATTTATAGCGGTGCTTTTTTTCTTCGTATCCAACTCAATCCTGGAAACCAGGTGGCTGAGTCAGACTTCAAGAACAATGTTGCAAAGTGCTCGGTTTATGATTATGGGAGCTTTTTTATCGCTCACAAGTGCTGGATAGGTAAGTTTTATGATCTGAATTCAGTCACAATTGAATAGAAAACGCATGCTGTAGAATGTAGGCACAAGAAAGTGTTGGAGTACACTTTTTTTAATAGTAGTAATGATAATGATAGCTGTTATTGTTACAATAATACCGTACATTATTGCGGGGGAGTTCATACAGTGAGAACAAAGTAATTGGGTATCAAAGCATCACAGTAATGTTGCTAGAGGTAACTTTGACAGTTTTGACTTAATAGCGAATTCAATATACTCACTTTAAAGGAAACTTTGTCATGTGATTTCAAACCGGATTTTTTAGTGCTAACATTAACCGAAGCGTCCTGGTACAAAGTTTGGCACGGCAAATTTAGTTTTCACGCTCAACTCGGGAAAGACATAAGGAGCTACGTACGCACCATCACAATGTCTTAAGGGATCTTGAACCACACTTTTAGAACTGAATCAAACATTAGAACTGGAATCTTTTTTTCAGAAACTTGCGAAAGTGGCGTTGACACGTATGCTGGGAATTCACGGGGAAAATGCTGCGCGTTTCCTTTCCGTTACAAAGGTAAACTGTACCATTCTTGCACAACTGATGGGCACAAATTAAAAAAGAAATGGTGCTCAACAACCGATGATTACAGCAGGGACAAGAAATGGGGACTCTGCTTCAACTAGGTGAGTCAACATGACAGTCTTTATTCGTGTTCAATTATTTTTTAAAAAATAAATGGTAACATGCATGGTCTGACTTTTATTTGCTTTCGAAAGCCTATGGTAAAAAAAGCCTTTGACTGAATCAGTTCATTTGTGTAACATTTCAGTAAACTGGAGAAGCAAATGTGACCGAAAGATTCAGCCATGTCTTCGACATCTTGGAAAAGAAAGAACTGACTTAACATTCACACAAACTTAAGAGCAGCATAAATATAATTCTTTTTACCAAGCTACAACATTTATCCTCTTGAAGTTCTATATAGTAAAGCCTATATCTGGAATAACGATGTTGTAAACTTAAAATTTCCTCGTCGCTTTAAAGCCATTTGTTCGTATTTTGTGAATACTGAGTTAGCATTTCCCGAGTGTTTATCGATGCTGCTCATCTTAATCCCCATCTCAGAAATCAGTCATGGTTCAGTTGTTTTTCTATGCTCCATTTTCAGTGATACGTATAATCATCTCAGCAGTGGGGCGAATTGGAATTAAACTTTTAAGTTACTAAAATGTAGCTTTCAGAAACTATGTATAGAATAGAACGTACTAGTATAACTTCCATTTTCTTCTTGTGAAGTGTAACAGCCCTTACTTGTACGTATGTATGGATGTGTCCTACATGAGAGTCTCGGTTAAATCATTCTATTAGTTAGTCTGTCCTCTTTTTAGGTTGACGAGCTGAAATAGAAAGATCCAATTAGAAGTGTTCTTTTTTTCATATTTCTTGATTACTTCTTAGTCTTTCTTTTTCTTTCGTCATGTTCCTTGATTGAGGAACGAAGACAGTTCTGATTGAGAAGAGAGTGCCTTGGGTTTGAAGAGCGCTCTGCAGAGCATTTTTATCAATGCTCTCCGTATTTCGGCGTTAAATAGAAACAACAGAATAGGGTCTAATGCCGAGTTTGTGTACATGACACATAAGAAAACGTTAAAATATATCGGACTGATTTTCCTTTTACCAAACTTGTGAACCGTCTGCACAACGAAGAAAGGAAACCAGCAAAGAATGAAAATTCCACCAATCACAGCTAACACCCCAGCAGCTTTGAAATCCTTTCGTCTCTTCTTTGTCTGTTGTTGCAATGAACTGGCCTGGTTTTGTGAGTCTATTTGTAGCGCATGATAACGGGCGATCAAATAAATTTTCACGTACGATACGCTCATAACTACGCTTGGAATCACGATCACGAAAAGCCATAAAGCTAGAAAGAAATACAACACTTCGGAAATGTAATGTTCCTTAGAGATGTTCCCACTTCGGCATATTGCTTCTTTTTCCCTCCACAAAACAGGCGGAGTCGCCAGACAGAAACTGCTGAGCCAAATCACGGCCAGAATGATCTTGGCTAGTACAGGTGGCATTCTGTCCGAGTAATTCAGCGGTGACGAAATCACAAAGTATCTATTGACGGCTACCGCTGACAAACTAAAAACGGACGCTGCACCGAAAAGTACCCCTAGAGGAGTAGTGAAGTAGCAGACGATGTAGCTTGGGTACCAGCTGCGGTCAAATCTTCCAAGAATAGTAGTGGGAATCTTTAGCAAAGCGTTCAGGAAATCTGACGCAGCTAAACTTAGTATGAAATAGTAATGAACGTTTTGTAGAAGTTGCCTCTTGACAATTACCGTTAACAACAAGCCATTTCCAAACAAAGCAGTCACGACCAAGAAAGACAGATATAAAATGAGACCAAGATTGCTGGCTGTCAGAGCAGGAGCCTGGGGAGGGTTAGGTGACGTAGTGCTGTTGTCGGCCATGATATATCAACTCAGTATTTTGAATCTATCGGTCATCGCTCTGCGAGAAATAGAAACACATATGTTTTGATGAAGGCTTACAACGTTAAAGTATTAAATTATTTCCACAGCAAATTTAAAGTATGAAATCATTTCCACAGAAGTTCCTACGTATGAAATGTTTTGTCAGTAACTCAGAACTTTATGCCATATAGAAAACCATGAGCCACCACTAGACCCCTTCCGATGCGTCTTTCCCCTCCTCTCCCACACCCTCGCATCCTGTCAGTCCCACTCCATGCTTTTGGTTTCATCCCTCCCCAGGCCTGATCCCTCCCACAAGTCGTCCGTAAAAAATGTTTTCGAAAGCTCAAAAGCTGTTCGCGATTCATCAACGCTAAAGCAAGATTTTCTCTTCGAAGTTGTTTCTATATCAATAATCGATTATTTGAACTCCTTTGAATATTCAAGTTCTCTAGATATAAGTTATGCAGATGGACTCAGTATTGAAAAGAAAAAATTTACATTTGCAAAGACAACGATGATATAAAGCACTAAACAAATGGCTGAATGTTGCTGAGAACTATGGCAAAATACTAGAATTGCACTGATTCTCGTTTCCAGTTACTTTGCGAACCGAGCGACATTTCCAGGATCAACTTTCTGGTAATGGAAAACACATGCTTTCAGTTTTAAGTCATCTCCTTCAGTTCATCATAATGATAATGTTTTAAGTGTCATCCATGCTTTTCCCCTTTGAAAACACTGTGTATGCAGTTTACATCATAACACCTAACAGACTCCTCTCATTTAGAAAACAAGAGCTCTGCCATTTGTATCTGACTTGAATTTGCTCACTAAGTAACACCGGGAGATGCCGGTTGCCTAATTATATCTCTTGATGCAGTCTGATCGAATAACATGAACTCAGTGACGACTGCACATAATCAGTCCTGAAACAATTTGCACAACAACAGAAATACCACGAAAAATGCATTCCACAAAGTGAAACCTAACTTGCGAACTTCACCATATGCTAGAGAACAGCTCGGTAAACACTTATTTACGTATTTTCTGAGATAATTTTAAGATATGTTTTGTTGATTAACACGCTCAAAAAGAAAGCATACGGAAAACCGAAACAACCACTACCCTTTGACGTCAATATCTCCGCCGCTCAAAAACAATTTCGAACCAAACCATGGAGATACCTTGTGTTGAGCTGAACTGTAAGAAGCTTCCGACATTTCTCATTTCCGCTTATTTCGTCTATTGAAATAGCCACTACTCTGTGGAGCGAAGAGATGATTTATGTCATAAAAATAACTGAAATTGCTTGCCTCGATGGAGTACACGCTGGGATAGAGCTTGACCTTTCAGAAAGGGTTTTCTAATATCAAATTTTCTAATATCAAATTTTCTCGACTCTCATTTCACAATGACTTTGTTTTGAAGAATACCCACCGCGAAGGTTTAATTAAACCATTTCCAATAGCTACAACTATCTGCTTCACAATGAAGGCTACAAAAAATACACACCATATTGTTTTTGTTTCACCTGTTCGGTTAATGAGGCAGCAATAACCTTTGAATTTCAGGACGTGCTCTGCGGCTGTATTTACTGCATACGTTTTGGTGAGATGAGAGAGCAGCGTTTTGAGTAATCAGCTTTTACGATTACCTTAGTGCGAGATATTTTACTTATTGTTAAATTTTTGGTTATATTTTCTTTATATCAAATTTTAAAGAAAGTTTTGTTTATATGAACATTGCAGGATTTGAAGGATAAATTATAATCTGTATTGATAACGGAGTGGTGAAGGAGTTACTCTGAATATTATACTTCGAAATTTCACGTTAATGCTAACAGTCACTAACGTCTGAGGTTTAGCGTTCCTCAGTTGTCTTTTTGGGTGTCTTTCATTTTGAGGACGCTTCGGTGTCAGAAGGAAAAACCGTGACCGATTATCATTGAAAATATAAAGAAGTACTTTGATTAGTTCCAGGACCATGAAATCTGCTTTTATTGCCAGCACTGCGAAACTGATCATTTATCAATTCGTTGTATCGTCAATATTGATTTATTGTTAAGATCGTTCTTCTTTAGTCTCGGACTCAGGTCACATAAGATTTTAATAGTTCTTTTTGGGAACGCCTAACATTAATAATATTCGAAATAACAACTTCACATAAACCGCTGTCTACTCAGTTTTTAGAGCTGATCAAGCTACGATAGCTTAATAACAAAAGGTTCGCAGCGGTAAGTGTTTGGATTTTGAAATCGCATCTATTCAGCAGAAAATAAAATTTCAATTCAATAATCCAGTGCGATTGTCTTAAAGAATCGCACTTCAAAAATGATATCTTTCCGTGTCTTCTAATTAAAAAAAAAGTAATGGCTTACTAGGAGTCCTGATCAGCGGCGTCAAGCAAAAAAATCAGTGCTCTCCAGCTTTCACGTTGGGTTCGTGTTTCGTTGACGTTGATTTCAAGCATTCACGTACGGTAATAAGGAGTACGAACGCTTCGTTTGAACATAATTAAGTGTGTGAGAAAATCATAGGCGTTCATGGTTGCTTACAATAAATGAATCCGGTGTGTTTTTCTTGTGATCGAGTTTCTATGGCAACCAAAACGTCACTTCTCTTTGTCTGCATTCGGTAATTAAGCAACATTTGGTGAACTTTACAGTTACAACAATTAGTGATTCCTTAAATCCATTAGTGGAATTGTTGTGTCTTACGTTACACTGTTCGCAGGTTTTACGTATTTTAAGCTTTCATTTTGAACAAAGTTTTCTGCTAATTTCCTACCGACAATCTGGAAGGAAAGACACTGACACCTCTTCGCATTAGGACATGCTCTTCTTTTATGGTCTAAGATGACAAGTCGAAATCATAACCTTTCGCCAAAAATAAATTGGCCTTATTGTGGACTTCGCGTAAAATTTTAAAGCTTGCTAAGGCCTCACACGCCCGAACGCCGCCTAGTAGAGAGAACGCAAAGGTGTAGCTATCGATGAGATCTGTCGTTCTTTATTTTTCAAAAGTCTCTTTTTGCCTCAGTGAAAAGCAGAGGAAGCTCTATTGTTTAATGGAAAAAAATTTTACTTTCCATGAAACTGGATCCACACAACTAGATTTCTGTAGAGACGCTTTCAATAGAGTCAGTTTTTTCCTTTATGTTTCATGGTTTTCGAGCCATATGATCCTGATCAAACAGGAGACATTTTTCGATGAGTTCCAGGAGAAAAGATTTGTTTTATTTAGTAACTCTGGACATTTGTTCTATTTCAAATGTAAACTGTCATAAATTTTCACCAAATTGTGAAGAAATTATACTTTTACTTAAGGTTATCCTCACGACAAGGCAACTAACTTTCAAATATAATTATTAAGCCTGTTAGCAGATGTCATTCTCCATCCGCAATAAGTTGCATTTAGAATATTCGTATTTACATCATTTGATGTTTACGTCCTATGAGTTTTACTTTGTTTGTTTTTGCTAAATTGTCAAAGCTAGACGTTAAATTAAATTATTGTCGTTCAACTTGTACTAGATCCGGAACGACAAGTTTGCTATAAAAGACGATTGCAACAGTTATGATTTGTAAATTACACTTTTGGCAAAACAGATTGGAAGACTGAGAGTCTTGTATCACGCATGCAGAGACTCATTTGGCTTCTATTTTACACAAAGCCGTGCTAACGGTCTTCGGAGCAAAGTATATTTACAAAACAATTCGAACATATTCCGCAGTCGTTATACACTGTTGTTGTAACGCTTCCAAATGTTAATTTACCTCATTTGTTTCCACGTAACTGGTTCCATCTCCTGTTCAGAAAGTCAGCTCCAAATTCCGTGCATGTCGAACGCATATGGTTTGAAACTAAGGGCTCAATTATTCGTCAGCTAGGCAATGGATCTTACTACATGCCAAGTCAAGTGATTGCAATTTTGTTCAAGCTAAAATGATTGTCATAACGTGGATTGCCGACAATTCTTTGCAAATAAAAATATATTAATTGTCCTTTTGCTTTACAACTACGCCATTGGTTATTGTAACTGCGTTGGTGATTGTTCAACAATTTCAACAATACCCCCCCCCCTCCCAAAAAAAAAGGAAAAAGAAAAACAAAGCTAACCTTTAAAATTATCGACTTTTTCTCTGCCGTTGGTATCTATTCCTTTTAAATCTAATCGTTGAAAGCCAAACTACCCTCATTAAGGAAATGAGTCAAATTTTTACAATTATTCATTAAAGAATGGCTTCATCATTCAGATGATTATTGCGGTGAGGATATTCGGCCTTTACGCTTAAGCTAAAAGCTTCTTCCAAGGCTATTTTGTTTCAGTCAAATTAAAGCGATGTTTCACAAATAAATCCTTCTGTGATGAATAAAATCCATCAATTCGTCAGACAGGCTGAAGCACCATCGAACGACCGAGTTCTAAGTAAAGCAGAGTAGCCCTTACAATGTTAATGATCATTAGGTAAGACCACGTATTTCTAGACAGCTAGAGAAAAAACAGCCGACTTTTAGTAAAAGGTTCTTCACTTTCTATCAATTAAGGACATAATTCAGCCTGGTCAAGTCGTGATTTCGCTTTCCCCCATTTTTTCTGATAACAAGTTGAACTTTGTAATACAGAGCAGAACTGAAATTCATAAGCTGATATCACTTGAGCTCAAATTTGCGTGTATGTGAAAAAAAAAAATTCACTCGCTGCCGTTGCACGATTTACTTAGTCTAGTTGTAATTTCAAACCTCTACTCAGGGTCCAATAACAATTTCAGTCATGTCTTAAACTGGTATTTAAACTCACAGCTCGTCATAAACTCCTCAAGGATCAATATTGCACATATTGTAATGTCACGGTTTTCATTATTTGAACGAGCACACTCTTAAGCCTGCCAAAGAAATTATTTCTACTCTTGATTTCACAGCTGCAGCTTTTTCTATTTTTTTTTCTTTTTGTTTAAGACAGCTTCTTCTTGCAAAAACCGCCCTGACGTTTCATACGCAATTTAAAAATCGATCTAAGTCGCCATGGTGGAAGTTTTAAAAGTAGAATTTGAAGTGGTTCTCGTTAAAATTACTATGGTCAATAGTCCATGGAGTTACACAAATCTTTACACGCATTTATGTATCCCATTACGACCCTTCTTAGCGAGTTCTCTAATTTCGATTCTACTTCGTATGCACACTCTGGATTAGTTTTAGGGATTGATTCAGGAAGTTTTTAAAAATAGATAGAAATATGAAGAAAAGGTCAGGAGTTTGTCTATATGCTGTAAGAGTGTCCTGAACAAAATGCTGTCAAAATAAATCCTGGTCCTGGGATTTATATCTTAAGTGCCTCTGAATAAGATATGGCTGGTTGCAAGACTTAACACATTAAACAAATCTACAATCCGAGAAGACACCAATTTTGATGTTGGCAAGGCTAACTATCGCCTCCATGCTTCATAATTTAGAGAATCTCTGAGTACGAAGCCGGACAATATGCAATGTTTTTGTAGACAAGGTGAGCATGCAAATAAGTAGTTTCTTTACATAAGGGTCTTTATTTGTAAGAAAAATGGTGGCGTCAGTAATTGATTCCGTTGGAAACTTAATAAAACAGGGAAAGAAAGGGCAGATTACTTACGTTCTTCATTTTTTCTTCTTCTATTGCGTGTGTCTCGCTCTTCAGTTCTCGATGCGAATAAACCAATTTGAAGCAATTAGCCATTCCTGTTTCTCTGCATAAAATATGAGAAATAATACCACTCCTATCTTTAATGCAGGTGGCTCTTAAGTGCTCTGAATGACAGCTCAAGAAATAATTAAAACTTCCTAACCTTCAGGCGGGAAAAAAAGGCTTCCACTTAGCTAAGAGCTTTCTGAAAAAGAGTTCACTTAACATTGAGGCATATTTATGACCTTTTCAGTTCGTCTCATTCAAATCATAATAATTCTCTATATTTTTTAAATCTTATTAGCGTTAATTCTAAGGATAGATCAATTGGACAGAATTTACGTAAAGAAATAAAGGAAGAACATTCGTGATAAACGAGACTGAAGGGTAACTTGACACATGGGAATATGCTTGCCAGTCTGGCTGTGAAAGGTTCACCTGTTAATGCATCAGATATTTACAGTTTCGATAGGGACTGTATATTTATCACATACGATATATATATATATATATATATATATATAATAGCAAAGAGAAACAAATGCATCTTTTTTTAGAATGTATCGGTGTTGCTGTAAGTTGCCATTCAATCCGATAAGCTTCGGACGCTGGGAAACATTCGGTGGTTGTATAATCTGTTGCCAGTTAGCGGCAGTTTGCAGTTTTCGGGGAGGAAGACTTTTGGATTATTAAACAAATAATTATTTATTTCAAAGGTTAACTCACAAACACGTATTAACTATTATAGAAGATAGAATAAGTTGTATGATAAGGAAAAAGAATAGAATATTTCAACATTTCTCTGGAAAGGTTGATCACCCCTTCCTTGTAGCTACACTGGAAATTTATTGTCACGTTCTTCATCCGTTGTGGGCCGGTCTTCTGTGAATTAATACTTGGTAACAAGAGGGATGCCCATGACTTATTTACATTTATAACTGAAAAGATGCCAGGATTCTTAGGTAAACTTTGATTTGGTTTAGAACAACAACTACCAAATATTAGCGCTATGGTCTCAATTAACTTTTCAATGAACTCAAAGGCGAAGGTTAATAGCATTTTTATGACCCTGTGGTGTCGCTAAATTTCTTCATTAAACGATTAAAACCAGGAGCCCATTACCCGGAGCTTCCATCTTCCACACTGACCCTCTGAGCCAACCTTGTCCCGTATCTTCTATTTTTAGAAGCACCTCCCACCGCGGCTTTCGCGGGTGTTTTTATAATAGCCAATCATAAGAGAGCTGTCGTCTCTATTGTGTTATGTCTCTATTGTGTCACTTGCAGGCCGCACGAAATTATTTCAATAATGGCGGAAAGCGCGGAAAGATTAAAGAACCCCCGCAGATATCTCAGTTTTTAAAATAAAAAGATACGGGACAGGGTTGACTCAAGGGTACAACTGAGATGGAAGTTCCGGGTAATGGGCTCCTGTTAAAACTGAAAATCGCTCAAGAACAAAATAAAATTATTAGTGAGCATAACATTATCATACAGACCTCTCAATTTCCATCATTTTTACACTTTCATAAACAATAATTTCAAGTCAGTTTTGTCTGAAAAAGTAATATATTTTTATTTTTGAGGAAAGATCAATGTCTCTGACATTCTCTACCAACGTGAATTCGCCCAACCTCTCAAAATTTGTTATGATGCCCGCGCGGAAAGTTGAAGTAATGGACAAGCATCGTTAAAAATCACTAGTGATGTGTGTAATAAGTGTATTTGAAGTTTTTTCGCAGCAGAAGGGAATTTGCAATAGGTTGATATGTTCTTTTTTGCTATCAATACAAACAATTAAACGACAATGGCTGAAAACTTACTGAGCGCTTCTGAGAAAATCATGATAAATCCAGCAATATACAGTTCTTTATTGAACAAAGTAACTTTGGCCAAAACATCATTTTTGGAATGCTTGAAGTAATAAGTTTCCCAATTTCCTTTTTCATGCAGTTTTGAAATAACTGCTCAATATTTTCGTGACGAAGATATCTAAAAACAATGACCAGATGTGACAGTGAAATATTCAGCTCCTTTTAAAAGTAGAATTCGTTATTTTTCCTCTCGTACTTACCCAAATTTACACTGAATTCAGAAAAATAAGTTTTCATTTCTTATATCTCTTTTAATAAAGACATTTTCGTTTTTGAGTCACTGTTATCGAATCAGCTGAACACTTCTGTAATTAAAACACTGAGTTATTTACCTGGAATTGTATTATTACATTAACTGTGTGGTTCTCCATCAACGTTCAACTTCTGGATATTGCTTTTAAGCAATCCTATGTATTTAACGCCGCAGACAGAGGAGTTATAGATGTCTTCCGTTTTCCAAGAACTGGACATTCGTCTCAAGAAAATTAAACCGTAAAGCAATATAGAATTCTTAATCATTCAACAGCAGGTGTCCTTCAATAAAATTTTCTTTCAAAATAAGCCAACAATTCCACCTATTTATGAATTGTCTGTATACTTTGTCGTCATTTAAATTGGACTATAGGCAGCTTTTTATTTGACCCATAGATAAATTAAGTTGTTAATTTCTCAAGATGGATTAACGGCGCTTGGCGAATATGTCACTTATTTGCGTCGTCAGATCTGATTGCAAGACAGATTGGAGCCAAATACAAATTAAAAAAGACTTTCAGAGTCTTTACTAAGAGCATCATGATGCCTTTCTCAAAACAGTTAGATTGGCAGGTGTTTTAACCCTTTCTCTTCCAAAATTTCAGTAGTAATTCTTCTGACTGCCTACAATACAATTGTTAGTTTGGAGAATTTGGTATTGGATCTACTAAGCGTCCCCTAATTGATATTTTTCTTAATTCTCATCACTTGCCTGCTCGGTATCCTATTGAAGTCGTAAGGAGAAATTCTATCTCAGTCAATCATGGGAAAGAAAGTGTTGATAAGTGGTTACAGCCACGAGGACATCACAAAACAAATCGCGATGAATTTCTCCCAGCAGCGTTAAAATTTCTCTCCGCGTTAGGCTTGGATCCTTACATTTTCATGCATTATTCGATTACTTAAGGTTGGCTTATCTCAGGGATTTTATTGAAAAAAGAAATTCGTGCAAGAAAAAGGCATGAAAAATTTTCAATGCAGGGAATAGGAAACATTTAACCTCTCAGGGTATCAACAACGGCTTTCAAATGACGCACACCGAATAAAGAGCTCACTTCTCATAAAATCTGCCCTCCTAGGTTTTTTCCTTTTAAATTCTTTGACACTCGGCTGAAATGCGTTTTCGGCACTCCCTTTGACCCAAGCGTCTCACAGCCAGCTTGTCGAATCTTAATTTTATGCGTTTTAACGGGTTATTCCATGCCAGTGTTGATCTTTCTTCTTTTAAGTCTAACTGAAGATATAACATTTTTCCGTTGATGGCCAATTCATTAGAAGTGACACCTTTATGTGAAGGTTTCAATGACTAAAGACAATGTTTTTAGGAAAGCCGAGAGCCATCAGTGATAAAAACCGAACAGCCATCAGATAAGCAAGAATCCAAAGTAAAAGCCCATTATAAATTGGACTTGCAATTTCAGAAAATGAAAGATAATGTCTCATAATTTTTACTATGAATAAAAATGTTTTTAGTTAAAGGAAAAGGAAAAAAGAACTTTTCCAACGAAGCAAATAATCATTAATACATTCCAAGTCATAGTGGGTCGAAGTAGTCGTTTTTTTCATCATTTAAAGTTGTTCGCTTTGGAGTAAATATTAAGGATTCAATAACCCCTGAAGTATCATCAAATCAGTGTAGCTCACTCTCGCAAGAAAGAATTAAGACTTTGTCTCCTTAAGAAAATGGTAAAAGTTCGTATGAAAACATGTTAATGAAAAACTATCATATTCATGCACTAAAATGAAACCTGGAATACCTACTAAATAAAGAATACCTACTTACCAAGCATTCCCTGGGAACAAATAACTTAAAACGCTTTGATGCACAACAGCAGATATAGAAATACAGGAGCGAACATAATTTATTCATCTCTCAAATCTGCCGATCTTGGCTCCCCATGGTTCCACAATCGCCCTAAATTTACTCTATTTAAACATTTTCACTGCGGGTGTTTCTCTCCATGCATATGAGTTATATGAATTCAGTGGAATGACCAAGTTTTATGGAAGTATTGGATGAAAGCTTTTGGAAGCCACTGCCTTCTACCGGTTTACCGAATTCCACTCACCTGCGCTCAAATGGTGTAAAAACCTTGCTCCGTTTATCAGTGCTGTGCGCTGGTCATTGTTGAAGTAAAGGAAGACTGAACTGTGATTTTCGCTTTTCCTTTGTTAGTTAAATCAACTTTCCACACGAGATGACTTTCGATATCGGTCAGTGTAGCCGAATTACATCTGAAATAATGATTGAATAAGGTTCCTCGTTGTTTCTTGAATGCCAGATGCCCCTTCTACGTATTTAAATAACGTTTTGTTCTTCGGTCATGGCTCACTGTAGTAGGATCAGTGATCGACTAATCGTGTTAAGGCAATTGTTTTGAAGCGCAAAGTCGCATGAACTTCTAGTTCCAGCTATCTTTTTTCAGCTTTTTTTTTTCGCGAAACGCAATTGGTGCTATTATTCTCTCGTGGATATTTACTCGCGATTCGTGACTGCCCCTTTTTATTCTGAGTGCACTTAAAAGCGTTGAAAGCATGTGAACGAAGTTTTTATTAAAACGTGATTTGCGAACTATGATGTTTTGCGAGATTTAAATCGCTCGCACAATTTGCTGATGTCTGAGCAAAATTTTGTTGTGCGATGTTGTTTAACAGACAATGAAAGCTTGACTTCTGCTCAGGTTGAGATCCGAAACTACTGTTATCTTTTGCGTCGTGATTTTCAGTCTTTCGTGTCGGCATCGACCAGTGAAAAGTATTCTAGATTGACCTCTAACACCTGTCATTCCCCGACCAGACTTGACAGTGGTCACGTCCTACAATCTCTTCAACTCTTCACAAAGGCAATCAGGTCCATGAGCGGTCAGTCACAGTTTATGCGAAAGGCTTTAATGCCGCCAAAATGCAAACGAGGTGAGTCAAGATGTTTTATCTTCGATTCCACTTTACGGAAAATTTAAATCGATAAAAGATTTCAAACTAGTGAGTTGATAAACTTATGAGTCAAACTAATGAGTTGATAAGCTTTCTTCTGGTACATTTGACCTGTTATGATATCATTTTGGACAGGACCACGTGCTCACTTGTATTCTCGACTATCCTTTTTAGCTCACTCGAGTTGTCCTCGTTGAATGAAGCTGACTCTGGCGTATGTCATGAGCGGAGGTGATTTCGGGTACTGCCCAAACCCTAACATTTCACTGACTGTGTCTGCAGATAATAAAATCTAAGGCCTCACAGACCTGGTGGTATCGATGTTACAAGATTGAGGCCTCGACAGCGTAAACAGGTCAGTCGATAGGAAACAATTCATCCGAGAATTTGAACGTGATGCAGTTTTATAAATTTATGCATAAAGCGTCAAAAACCCCAATATTTCTGCTTGAAGGCAATTAGCAGAGGGGTTGAAGGGACCCTCAGTACACAGTGTCAATCTCAAATCTTCACAGACTTTTTTGGACGGATTTTTCTGCTTCCTGCTTTAGCAGATGAAAACTCGGTTAGTTGTCACCTGATGCAATTATTTCTGCTCTGCTAATGAATCACACTCTTTACTGGGACGGAGTTAAGAACCTTGCTTGATACGGAAAGTTGACACTGCTTTGTGAAAGACTGGGTGATTGATCGAGCAGAAACGAAAAAGGGCCACCTTCTAAAACTCAGTCACGTTCTTCTACAAGCCACAGTTAAATCTAATGCAAATAAAGTGCAATTTTTAGTCGTACAAACAATAATTTGCACGTCAAATTCGGGATACAGTAAGGTTACTCTTAAGAACATATAAGGTCAACGAATTTCCTGAGCAAGCAATTTTTAGAGCAGAACGCGATACCACGTAGAATTTCAAACCAGCCATCCTCAAGTACAGTACACTGAAGGTGATTTTTTGTGCCAATATTTGCGTGACCGGCGGTTCGTGAAAAATAATTAGCAGGTCGAGAAAAATCCTTAGATGAAAACGTGGAATGAAAGATAAGGTGAAAAGGCTGATAAAATAAGATAAAGGTTCAAACGTGACTTTAAACCTCATCTGCATGATTCGGTAAAGAGAGACAGAACGAGTCAGTTGACCTGAACACCACATCCTAATCCCGCTACAGACGCAGAAAACTTAGTATCTTCCCCTAGCCAATTTATTTCAGAACGCACTTGGAAAAAAACTGTCTTTAGGAGAGGCTCAGGGAGGGTCAGAAATGCTCACAAGCCAAAAACCTGCTCTATTTTTACACTAGCTTCTACTGTGCTGCAGGACCCCGGCAGTGGATGGAAATATTTCCGGCGGAAAACACGATATTACTTATCAAAATACTTGTGCAGTCAAGAAAGTTTGATAAGAGTCCTATATATGTAAGCAGACGTAGCAGATAATAATTGGAAAAAAGTAGGTAATCTGAGAAAAATGGCGAGAATCAGAATGTTTACGCTCAATTTCAAAAGAATATGTATTCGCACTAACAGTTGACCTGTTTTAGTGGAAATCGAAAGAAACCTTAAGGAAATGAAGTTCATGTCAGAGATGGTTATTTCATGTGCAATTCTTGATAGAAAGAAATACTGAAAACATTCCCAGTTAACAGTCACGTAATACCCAAGCTATTTTTCTTATCAATTATCCGAGTCAATACTGATTTATAATGGCTCTAGAACCACTTCTCATTATGATAGAAATTTTTCATAATATATTTTTGATAGTCCAGCTGCTCAATTTATCACACTTAAAAACGACGAATTACTTTGAAAACATGCAAATATGAAAACACCAAGCTAAAGAAAGCCACTCATGGTACATTAAACATTTTATTTAGTTTTCAACGGCGAATGCGCTGTACCACGAAAGAAGGAAAGATATTGGCGAGTTTTTTTCAAAAGCGGCATCGACAGCGGAGTAAAAAATAAATGCTTACATTGGAAAGGGAAACAATAAATAATTGTTCACTAGGAAAAGGGGAAACTTCTGTTGTTTAGCATCACACGAAAAACGCCTTGTTTGAAATCTCTCTAGGACGTGCTAAACTTAATCACATAAATATGTTGAATTGAGTGGTTCTTTTCCAATAATAGAGCTGTGAAATATTCGTTTCATTTTCATTCACTAATACTTTATGGCACAATTAAGATGCAACTCACTAATCATTTTAGGAAGCGGTTTATCAGTGACGTACATCAATCTGTTGTTAGCTTTAGCCAGTGGTACGAGCTCCTATAAACATCACTATCTCAAGGTGTCTGTTTAACCTCCACAGATTTATCTTGCTGCTTTACACGGTTTACTTACGTTGGTTGTTAATTTCCATTATCTCAGAACAAGGGCTGCAAATTAAGTTTTTAACTGTCTCTTGTACAATAAATTAATTGGAGAAGGAAAAATAATCCACCAATGTTTTTCAGTTAATGGAGAAGGATTCTATTCACTTTGGATAACGCAATTCCTCGTTACAATTAGCACGTACCACGGTCTGCGTGTAAGGCACCGCGGATGACATGTCCCAGCATTAAAGAAACGTTGATACGTTGAAATATAATAGCAGTGACAAACTCTTCATTTCTTGCAATGTTAATTTTGACAAACCGGCCATTAACGACGAAATTCGTTGCAGTTGACGCATCGAGAAAAGGAACCAATAACACGCTGAAAATTTTTCCTGATTATATTTCGATTTACTTAACAGCTGCTTGTGAACTACAAATTTTTTTTCATCGAATGAAGGATTCTTCTACCGTGAAACATATAACTCATATTTCAATATCGAGGCAGAGGATATTTTGAACTAGGAAAACCATCGTGTAGACAATTTAGTCCTCTATTCATCTTCCACAAAAGGTGCGTAAGGAAAAATATCTCTTGTCGAACGTCGCTCATCAAATGAGTAACCTTCAAGATCAGTCTAATTCTCGGATAAAGATAGCATGATTTGCAAATTTTCTTTAGCAGTATATAAATCGAGTAGCTATGGCAGTTAATCATTGGTTAGTAGCGGAGCGAATAATTGTAAAGGTAGAATCGTGATAGTCGCAACAGACGAAAAACACTTCATTCCCTCTAAATTAAACTAAACTAGGTTCGTATCTTCCATCACCAGCGTTGTCAAAATGTTAAATACATCATTTATGGCCGGGTGCAACGTATCTTTAAGTGTAAAAGCCGAAGTTTCCTCCGACCGTGAAGTATCTGTATTTTTGAGCGCAGGATAACACACACTTTTAGGATCATTGACCTATACCTATAGGACCTATACCTATACCTATACCTATACCTAGACCTATAGGACCTATACGATCATTGAATTTTAAAATCAACCATTTTGAAATTCACCATAGCATAATTAAATTGAAAGAATGTGATTGAAGTTCTCCGCATCAAAGATTGGGCAAGCTTCTCAGACTTGATATCATTACTATTACAGTAGGCGGAAATTCTAGGTTAGGATCGAACCCTATAACAACCAAGGTCTCCTTTGGGATTTGTTCGAAATAGAGTTTTAATGCTGATTACCAGAATATGAATAAAACTGAGGGGAAACTCAGAAGAGAGAGACTCTTCACGCGGTTGTTTGAGTTTGATATGAGGTTGATGCTGTAACAAACTTCAGTAACATTGTGAAGCAAATCTATGCATTCGCAGGTCTTCAAAAAGAAAGAAAGAAAAAAACAGACTCGAAAGTAATTTGGCAAGCTTTGGCATGGGGAAGATCCTGGCAGGAAGTAGAGGTATGTGTATGGGGAGGTACACTTCAGCGACATGGTTAAGTGGTCCATACTGTCAGCCTATTAATTAACTGATATATATAATAGATAGTACATCAACTTTTGAGCGTGTGTTCTCACAATTCCTGTTCACAATATAAACTACCGTTCACTTTTGATATTTCAGTTCCCGATTGATTTTAAAAAATTCTGCACATACTGCTTTTCCCATTCAAATCTTCGCTTTCACGAGCTTCGATTTACTCTCTCAGATAAACCAATGTAAACGTCACCCTTATAAATCTTTCTTTTTTTTGTCGCCATTGCAACTTACGAAATAAAGTTGTCGATTGTTTCATTACAGGGAAAGACCTTGTTAAATCCTCACCCCCATTGTTCTCTGCAAAGTCTACCGGCCAAGTTGATCTTAAAAGAAATTTGTGCGTAATTTCATTCATCTTGGTGAAGCTTTAAGGTAAGACTGAAACAGCTCATCTATATTTATGTTTGACACTTTATATAATATTGCTCGAACAGTTCACCGATATTTCCTTAAAGCAGCCAGGTACGAATAATATTTGTATAAAGCTAAATATTTGAAATACTGTTACAGCATTGTACTGGGGCATTTTCTTTATTCTAATAGTAAGAAAACAGTCCCGTACTTTTAGTATGACTTTCACAGTAAAGGCAACTGTTCACATTGCTATGTTTTTATGGTAACACTTTGTTTCTTTAAAGAATTCTTAATTCAGGCGACCTCATAACTAAGTTAGCGAAGGTCATTTAAGGGTCGTGAGTTTTACTCCTTAATATTCCTGTGTTTTTACGCATTATCGCATGAACGTAATTGTGAACAAAGCCAGAAGAATAGTATGCTCGCTTCTCACTCTGTTCAAGCGAAATTCATGATTTTTTTCATTTTATAGATAACTTGTTAAGTCGCCTGCACACCGTCTAAGTGTTAAAATTGACTACGAACAAACTCCTTAATCAGGTTGTCGGGAAAAGTTGTTAAATTTCGATAAGTTTCCAAATTGCCCTTTCTCGCTTGAGGTGCGAAAAAAAATTTCACCTCATTGACATTCGATAGCTTATGGAGAAGTAAACACACTGGAGAGGTCTCTGTGCATATGTTCAACGTTTTCTGCAATTAACACGGGAAAGCTCCCCATGCGTTCCTACTGCAATGGGTACTGAATAAATTGGAAAACAAACACCTCAACGCTAACGATTGGATTTTTCTCTCTCTTCGTTTCAGGAATTACATTCTCATAAACGAAGAATCTACAGAACACCATGAACAATACAACAGCCAACGAAAGTTATGCCTTTGACGATCACCTCGCGGTCCGTGTTGTACGCCTGATGTTGTACCCTGTGGTTTTCATGATTGGCGTACTTGGAAATTTATTAGTCTGTGCTGTTATCCTGGGAACAAAGAAAAAAAACTTGGGTTCCTCCAAAGGATACTTTATATTAAACCTTGCCCTGTCTGACCTGATGGTTCTGTTTTTATATCTTCCATTCGACCTGGCCTATCTTGAGAACCACTCCGTATGGCCGTTTGGTTTTGCTCTTTGCAAGCTAATTAACATTTTGAGCGCTGTTTCCGTCACGGTGTCGGGATCAATGTTGATTTGCATTGGCTATGAGCGATACCTTGCAATTGTGAAGACGCTGAAGAGTCCATTTAGCAAAACAAAAGCTGTAGTTATGGTGGCATTCAGTTGGGTCTACTCGTGCTTACTGCAACTACCATTCGTGTTCGCCTTAACCTTGGAGCCAAACGGAAGGTGTCTCATTGACATACAGTGGTGGCCAAGCCAGCTTTCGTTCAACCTTACTTACATCATGGCGTTGGTTATTCCGCAGTTCGTAATTCCTGCATTCTGCCTCGTTTTCTTTTATGTTGGAATTGTCAGCCATTTACGAAAGGCTCACAAGCAGAACAATAGACGAGGCATTTACAGAAGCGTACATGTTGCTGAAAAACGGCAGAAGCAAAACCGAAAGACCACGAAGTTGTTGACGGGTTTAGTGTTGGTTTATGCGGCCTGCATCTTACCAGACAAAGTGATCATTTTAAGTATTATAGGAAATCCATCGCTGTTGAACTCGCATGCCACAAGGCAGCTGTACGAGTTTGCCAGACTTCTTACCACTGCAAATAGCTGTCTTAATCCCATTCTGTAAACAACATTAAGTCGCAGTTTTAGGAAAGACTTGAAGAGTTTGTTTTCTCGGGAGACAGTTAACGATACGAACAGATTTCTGCACTCAGCATTTCAGGAAATCCCACAAAAGCAAAGAGTATCGACCTCTGCTTATCAGTTACGCAGGATCACAGTGATGGATAAAAAGGAATTAAGTTGGGACACCGACAGGTTTAAAACAGTACTAACGCCAGAAGCAAACGGAAATAATTGAAGATTTCTATGCTTTCACAGAATTTCAGCCGTTTGTGCGATAACATTAGGGTGTTTGCATTTGATGTAAGCAATGATTACAAGAAAATTCAACGAAATCGGAGGTAAATTCGCCGTTTTCACTTACATTGAAGTGATCACTCTAAATCAGTTTAGTTCAATAACAAATGGAAACAGACTGAGGTTATTTTTCTTTAACACTTTCCTTGTATGATATTGGCTTTATAATACGATTGTTTATCGTGGTGTATAGACTTGTCCTAAAGTATAACCGCTGGCTCACACTAGAAGTGACTGCTGTTGAAGTGTAATAACATTTGGTCCAAACTTTCCTAAATGTAATAACATTCATAGCGTATTACGGGCTCGCTCGTTGATTTAATCAGCGTCTTTTTTTTCGCTCGAGACGTAGGCCGAGAAGCATTGGCTACAAACTTTCATACTGATGTGCTTTTGGCATCAATTTGACAGATCTCAAAACAATAGAACGCTGACAAACCCGGTCATCTTGACCGAACAGGCTTGGTCAAGAGATTTTATATTTTCGGCAAGTAATTTTTCACGGAAAAAAATGCGTTTTCTTTTCAGTTATCACGAATAACGGAAAATATTTACTTTGTTTCACGTATCACAACTAGCATATCGTTCACAGTTCAAGGCTTTTAACTCTTTACAATCATGAGTCCCGACCGATCACGTTTTTTATCACGATAAAAACAGCACAGCACGTTTCACAGAAAACCCCCCTTATGGCCCCTCGATTCTCGATATTCATGCTCAGTGGCTTTCAAGTCTTACATTTTGAAATGGAGACGAGATGCACGAGACGAAATTATTTGTCTGACCATTTGCTCATGCAGATTTAAAACACAAAAACCGACGACTAATTGTTGAAGAATCATAGCATGAAAACTAAACACTCTTGGGATCCTAAAAGAATTTATGAAAAGACAAATCCGAATTTTCGGAAGCATTGTAGCACTTGTAAACGAACGATTTAGTTTATTTGATATCACCTCTAGTGCTGTTTACCCGTTCAGACTGGGAACAATCTATGACTTACGAAAGAACAGAAGCGGAAACTGTTTCCAAACAGTAAGCATGGACCGATACGGTTTTTTCGAATCGATACGATACCCAGCACGATACTGGCGTTTTTCTTCGATATCGATACCGCTACTGTGTCGTCTTTGAGGTAAATGGTAAGTCACGTGATTTGATCGACGAAATATAGGGTTGTCTTGCACTGTTAAAGTTTTGCATTGTTCAGTAATAATATTTATAGAACATGCTATACAAGCGTCAATGAGGCAGTCAAGCATCTAAAACCGGATTAAGGACGTGCTTTAGCCGAAACTCATGGTCGTCAGTGATTTCACTCTTGCAGCACTCAGACGCCACTACTTAGACTGATACACTGTGGTGCTCATTGCCCAATCTCGCGCCCGAAGTCTATTCGACTCCCTGTCAGCGGTTGGTCTCAGGTCTGAGACAAAGTGCGGGCAGGTCACGTGCAGTATCGAAACCACTGATGCTTTTCGCAAGTATCGATATGTTCCAATCTGACCACGGTATCGTTGGTATCGAATATTTGGTATCGGTATCGGCCCATCCATACCAAACAGAATTTACATAAACCTTAACATTGCCTATATTTAGGGACAAAACTCGTTTATTGACAGCAGATAAAGGCGTATTCTTTGCATTTTCTTCTCAATAGAGGACATTGTATTTTAAGTTCTCCTTAGCGTCTTCCAAAATATACCACAAGCTGTGGTGGACATCATGTTGGAAGAAGTCGAAAGTGATGACGCAGGAATATTGGCAGCTGAAGGCTTTTGAAAATTCCCGCAGTACATGCACCTTCCTTAGTCTTAAAAATCATCAAATGGTCTTCGAAAAGGTTAGAAAACGCTTTTGTTGTCCGCGATGAGCGATTGTCTCGGTATTTGATTAAGATATTTTCTTTCTCTTTTCTGTTGTGACTGTTTTAAAAAGCACATAAAATATCTCAGGTCCTTCTGACTCACAAGGGACATCGATCAGAAAGTGACAACATGTAGCGATCTTTCTTGTCGTGTTAAGAAATATGCAGTTGGCCCAGCGAACATTTATCAGACATTCATCTATGTGGTGGTTAGTCTTGTTATTTATTACACGACTCGGGAAGTCAGAGGGCCAATAACTAAAATCAACCAATCAAAATGCTCTATTGCCGGGCAATATTCTCTCAGTATTGGACCGGGCACTGTCCCGAATGGTCCCGAATGATACCGCACTTGTGTCCCTTTGAACTTCAGTCGTGTAATAAATCTCTTATTAACCAAGCTTGCTCGGGACCGTACTGGAAGAATAATATCGGCCCTCGCTTTTTTGTACGGACCTCGCTTCGCTCGGTCCGTACTGTCAAGACCTCGGGCCGATATTCTCCCAGTACGGCCCTCGCGCTTGGTTAATAAGATATATATACCTAACTTGAAATTCAAGTTTCTTGACGGCACACAATGAGGCTGATTAGCGTGATGATTTATACATCAGAAATGCACAATTATATCACGAAATTCATCCTGAAACTTGCTCTCAGTGTTAGCAAGGCGACTGAAGTTACGCTCCGACCGAGTCCTTCTATTGTCCTTAAGAAAGAGAAAATGTGGCGTGATGTGCCTTAGAAAGGGAAATTTCTTTTTCTACCACTGAAATTTCTTTATTGAGTAATTTCTTCTGAGTTATACCTTTCTTTGGGATATTTCGAGACCATTACGAGATATCGATTTCACAATAAACCTTACACAAGGAGAGAACTTAATTGGTACATTTATCACATATTTCATGGTACGTGCCTGTTTGCACACTTGCGAAAATATTTTTGTCTTTCCTCCTGATTTTAGGGTAAAAACCTATTATGCACCTATAATTTTTTTTACTTTTTTTGTTGCATTTTTGACGCATGCAAATTAGGACGTGCGTGACAAACAATGGAACCGTGTATAATACGCACCGCGATTTTGATGGTTATTTTTGTAGAAAAAGTGCGTAAATACGGTACACGATCAAAAACTTACGCTTCCCCCAAATCAACATTGCTTATCCTTTCCTGATAAAACGGCTGTAAAAATGCGCTGAATTCTTTCCAGAATCGTTTTTTGTACGTCAAAACAACTTTCCGCCTTATATTTCTTTGTAGAAACTTGTAATGTTTGCTCCGTGGCGATCCCTGAACCCTTTGGGATCTGGTTACTGGCAACTCATTCATTCCCACCGGATACTCTAATAGCATAGGTTTAAAAATGAGCTATTTACAAACCAAAATTGTATTAAAAAAGTAAAAACGAAACGTTTTCGACACTAGGTCATCATTAGGGTAAATAAGCACCGTCCGCTAAATTATATATTTTATATCCTTGGGTAATTCCCTATGGGAAGAGTTGAAACTAGGTTTCAAATGATTAATCAGTATCATTAATATATAGATTTAGCCAAGCCTACAAGCAGAGTTCCAGATCCGTGGTACAACATGGGTTACCTAGGGTAGATGAGGGTTAACATGGTAGAATATGGTTAACCTAGGGTAGATGGGGGTAAACGTGGAAAAACATGGGTTACCTAGGGTAGATGAGTGTAAACGAGGTGTAACATGGCTAACCTGGGGTAGAGTGGGGTTAACGTGGTAGAACATGGGTAAGCTAGGGTAGCTGAGGGTTAACGTGGTATAACATGGTTCATCTAGGGTAGATGGGGTTAAACGTGGTAGAACATGGGTTACCTAGGGTAGATGAGGGTTAACGGTGTAGAACATTGTTAATCTAGGGTAGATGGGGATAAACGTGGTAGAACATGGGTTAGTTAGGGTAGATGAGGGTTAACGAGGTAGAACATGGTTAACCTAGGGTAGATGGGGGTAAACGTGGTAGAACATGGCTAACCCAGGGTAGATGGGGGTAAACGAGGTGTAACATGGGTAACCTAGGGTAGATGGGGGTTAACGTGGTAGAACATGAGTTACTTAGGGTAGATGAGGGTGAACGTGGTAGAACATGGGCAACTTTGGGTAGATGAGAGTCAACGCGGTAAAACACGGGTAACTTAGGATAGATGGGAGTAAATGAGGTAGAACAAGGGTAACTCAAAGAAGATGAAGATAACTGATAGAAAAAGGTTAGCTAGGACATATCATGGAACATACATGAAGGTTATATTACTTAGTATTAATGAATGGACGTGATACGGACCTAACATGAACGCTTTACCGGATTCTGAGTCGTTCGCCTGGTTGATTTCCTATTCTGTAGCATCGTTTTCCTTGCCGCTTTTCTTTTACAGAACGACCTCTATGTCTGAAACAAACTGATCATCTATTAGCTTATCACCATCATTGACTATGCCTTTGTCGACTTTATTTTGCAATGCAAGCTCCGTTTCGTTCGTTTGGCTACCATGTGTAATCCCATGTGCAATCCCTTGTAATCCCTTGTAATCCCTTATCTACAGTCATATCAGTTTCGCCACCAGAGTCGACGATGCCATCAGGTCCACTTTTTGCGTCGGTGTCACCCTGGTAATCAACAGTATCATTCATTTCAAAATCCTGCTTTAGATGCATTTTATTTGCATAATCCTCGGAAATTTCTTCTTCTCCTTGGTCATTTGCTTCGTAGTCTTCCTCACCACCGTCGTTGTGATCCGTAACTTGTTCCAAGCTCACATAGTGTTCGCCGCGGTTCTTAGCAAAATGTCCAAGCTAGACCGTAGCTGCTGTCTCACTTGCTTACGGACTGAACACATGCTGCCCACCAACTCCTGGAGAAGAGATTATTTAGATGTCGATGTCGTACAAGTTTGCTGCTGCATACATTGTTATCTGATCCTCATAGGTCCCATCTTGCGCCACATGAGTGAAATAGTCGTCCTAGCGAGCGAACTCATCATCTGCCAAATGCCCCAAAAGAGCGAACCCATCGCTATCGCACAGATTACTTTCTAAGTACGCTACAATTTCCTTCCTCGTGGTTTTAGCTCGACTCACTCCCAAAAAGGTTGTTTCTGAGTTTCCTTTTTTTTTCCTTTGAATCAATTAGTAGACCATTAAAAAACGGCTTACACGATTAGTTTTACTCACATCTCAGAGAAAGCAAGAGAACAAATTCTTGCCTGAGTTTCTGGGGACCGGGACATCATTTACAGCCTTTAACATAAATAACCATTTTTAATGTGTTGGTAAGCTGCTCCTTTTCATCTACACCTGTTAAATGTAGGTTACTGAGTATAAAATTTGATGCAGATCCATGCCGTACCCGACTTTTTCGTTTGTTTGTTTGT